CTGTGTCTCTCTCTGTCAAATAAATAAAATCTTTAAAAAAGAAAAAAAAAAAGGTCATCCATTTGAACATCCCTCTTGAGTAGCATGGGATCATGACATTGGAAACACAGAAGAAAACAACTCTTCAGTGAACAGTATTTCCCCACCTATACCAATGCAAATGCTGAATATCAATTTCCAACCATTAGAATCAACCTACAAATAGAGCATGGAAAACTTAATTTGACTATTGAGTAAACAAAAATGTGATCAACCTTAACCTTAACCTTAACAGTGCGAAGGCAAGACGAGAGGTGGAAGGGGGAGAATGGAGAAGAAAAGGTGGGGATGGAAGAGGAAGGGAGCACAGGTGATTACTGCTTTTCATTATACGCCCTTTGTTCCATAGGCATTGTTTTTTTGTTGGTTTTTTTTTTTATATTTTATTTATTTATTTATTTGAGAGAGAGGGAGAGAGGGAACACAAGCAGGGGGAGTGGGAGAGGGAGAAGCAGGCTTCCCGCGGAGCAGGGAGCCCGATGCAGGGCTCGATCCCAGGACCCTGGGACCATGACCTGAGCCACCCAGGCGCCCCCATAGGCATTGTTTTGAGTTAAAATTTCTTTAAATGTTTTGAGGAAGCTGCTACCAGTGGCAGATGCTACAAAAGGTCGAGTGAGAAAGAACTAGATTTGGCCTGTAAGGTCATAGGAGACCATGGAGAGGACCCTCTCCGTAGAATACTGGAATGAAACCAGAATGCAGTGGTGGGCTGGGGAATGGATGGGAAAGGAAGACCAGGAGAGGACAATTATACCCGTCAGAACTCTAAGGAGAGGAGAAAAGTTGCCAACGAGAGGGATTAAAAGCAAAGGGAAGGCGGCTGTTGCTATTTTTATTTACACAGAAAAACTTGAGCAGGTTTTTAATTTGATCGAGGTAAAGAAGTGATGACAGGGACAGGTGATGAAATCCAGACTTAGGGTGAGGAATCAACCTGTCAGAAGAAGAGATACGTATTCTTTGGAACTAAGAAGAAACGAGGTAGGGGCACTGGGATGGGGAGGCAGAGAGCTGCCGAGATGCAGCTACCAGCAGCGTTATGGAGAACCTCTGCTCCCTAATGAAGTGCATTTGACTATTCTCAGTCCATTGCAAGTTCATCTGGAAAACAACCAGGCAGGAGAATTTTGAAAACATAAAATTAGCTGAGATTAGAGTTGCTGACCATGCCATCCAAACCTGAGTGACCAATGTTAAAATATAAGTGCTAAAATCAGTATTCTAAATTTTGGGATAACATCAATTGCATTCTCTGCATGATGAATTAAGATCACTACAATCAGCATCATAACTCTAGAACTACTTTTTTTTTTTAACCTGCATTCTGTCTCCCTTTCAAATTAATCTAATTAATATGGTACATTGCTATTTGGCTGCTAAATATTACAAACAGAAATCTATGTTTATGACACACTTTAGAAATATACTTTGAATAACTGAGCAGTTATTTTTCAAAAGGACACACAAATTAGCAGATACATGGGTTGACGTTATTTTACACTGTGGATGCCCTAGCAAAATTTATCCATTTTTGTTTTTTGCTTGTTTTATTTCTGTTAATGACCTTCCATCCAAAGTAGTTCTTCCTCTGGGCGTGTATGCTGCTAAAACAGTGTTGTGTTACTCCATGCCAGGCTTGCCCTAAGTAACCTGAAGCCTGTGGACAGATTTTAATAAAATGAAGACATGATTTTTTTCTTCCAAAGGTTTTATTTTAAGATATAACTAAAGCCATAATTTTGAGACTGTAAAAATAAGTAGTCTCATTAAAAACAAAACAACAATTCAGGGTTACAAGTCCTGGGAATAAAACTAAATCTGTGGTGACCAAATGGGTCATTGCTAAGGCAGCCCCAACTTAGGAATGGCAGGACGTCAGAGAAAGAAGGTAGTAAGTTTAAAGGGAAGCATTTATCGAGCAGCTTCCAATGTGTGTCCTGGATTTCTGGAATATGATAGTTACACTCTAGTATAACACTGCTCACACCAGAATGAAGGTTGTTTACAATACCGTGGGCAATTTGAAACTTTGCGATTTCAACAATGGCACCAACTCACTCAACCATTTGCAGAAATGTAATCAACAGTGATATATCACTTCACACAAATGTGTTTCTAGCTTATAAACAGGCTACCACTGACCCCCTTTATCCCACACATAACTGAAATAGTGAATTTGTGGTCTTGGTATCACTCTGTATTAAAAACTATAAAGCAGGTTTTCAGAAATAAAACTTTCCATCATCTCATCTACCACTTTGCTATATTAGTCCACTTACAATCATTGCCAATCTACCTATTCCTGGCTCTTGGTAAGCCTTACTCGCTGGTCCTACCCTTGTCTTCAGTAGCCTTTTTTAATCACTGCCTATTTATGTACTGTGAATGGCGCCTTTGCCACATCTTTCAGGCTGACATTTCCGTTTCCCTTCTATGGTGGTTTCACCCACCTCTAAGTTATGTTCATGCTCTGATTGTTTATTATTCTGATCTGCTCTTTGATCCACACTCTCTCATCTTGACCATATCTTTCTTGAAATCCAGATTTTACCTCTAAAGTTAACTTTTCTATACTATCCTAATGAAATTGTTCCATACTTTTTTTTTTAAGATTTTATTTATTTATTTGACAGAGAGAGACACAGCGAGAGAGGGAACACAAGCAGGGGGAGTGGCAGAGGGAGAAGCAGGCTTCCCACTGAGCAAGGAGCCCAATGTGGGATCATGACCTGAGCCGAAGGCAGACGCTTAATGACTGAGCCACCCAGGCGTCCCTCCATACTTTCATATACTAACTACTTTGGCTTGTTTCTCTGTAAAAAAACAAAAAAACAAAAAAAAAACCTCCCTCTTCAAGAATAACATTGATTTCATTCAAATCTTTGCTTCTAAGCTCTTAGAAAGAAATCAGCTCTCAGAAAAAAACCCAAACTTTTAATTTTCCATTAGGTTCTACTTTCTTAATACCCACTAGCTTCTTCTTTACTCCATCTTTACCCTAGTTTTTGCCTGCTTAAATTATCCACCATGACAAGCTGTCCTTCTCCAACTTTTCCACTTAAAAATTCTGATTATTGAGACATTTACCTAAATTTCCCTTCCCTATTCTCATATTTTCTAATTCCTATATTTACCATATCATGGACAGAGCTGAAATTAAGTATAATTACTAATCTTCTCAACTAAAAAGTTCACAAAGCACGTGTGCGCACGAAAACGTAGAATCAAAGAAAAAAACCCAAATAAATGCAGATTGTTTCTTATCTAGTTTAAGCCTTATAATCCAATGACCCTGCTCAAACTGAATCCTCTCTATGCATAACCAGAAGCATCCATCACTGTCTATAGAGACACAAAGTGATATTAGGAGGGAAAAAAGGCAGGAGATACAGGTAACACACATATTAAAATTACACATTGCCCAAGAATTCTATCTCATAAAAGTAAACAACTCTTCTTTAAAGGGCAAAAAGGTGGGTTTCCTCTCAAGTTAATGTCTTACGAGGGGCTTTATACAGCTAAAAATCAAAACTTTAGAACTCAAGCTTGATTTTTCAAAGTGAGTCTTAGGCTATAACACTGAATATTTCATAGGAATAACTGAAGAGGAAAGGTAGCACTGTGTCTTGGGTTTGAGAAGCATCATCCTAACCAACTCCCCTCAAACAGCAAAATAGTCAAAGGAAGACCCTGTACCAAACCACTGTGATTTGGAGACTGATACACAGAGGGAATGAGAGTTAGGCTGAAGGAGGGAGTAAAATGTAAAAATAAAACTGGAAGACACCTTTATGCACCACTGAGGACATGTGCCAGTATCTGAGTTATAATTAACTCAATGCTCTGCACCTGAGGGCAACAAACCCAAATAAAGGGAACTCCAGGGAAGCAACACATTATATCTTCCCCTCAATCCCAGGGAAAACAATATACCCTCAAAATATTTCTGAGGTACAATCACAAAGTGACACAATCATCAGTCTTTAGGATCCAAACAAAACAGAAACAGAATTCCACCTAGAGTAAATAACAACTTTACGTTAGAGACAGAGCGTCACAATAGAAGAAATACCTGTATAAGTCATCTTTCTACAATGTCTTATGATTGCAGCTATTCATGCAGAGAATAAAGAGTCAAATCAATGCTGACCCAGAAGACATCCTTTCCTTCAGTGGCATTTGGCCTCAACTGCTTCTCAGGTCCCCTTTCTCCAAAAAAAGGAAACTATATAATTGTGTAGGATAGCAATCTAGAATAAAAAGAAATACGGTACTCTCTCTTTCTAGCCAGAGGTTAGCTTTCTATTTGTTCTTAGGTAATAACACCCTTTAAAATTGTCCTTCCCACTAGATATCCTACATGGAGGTGAAAGCTTTAAATCTTAGAAACGATTATCAGTTCAGAGTATGCTTCCTATGAAGGGTAAGGTTCAATATTTCAATGTCATTTTATTCCAACTACAGAAAAATACCTGTGTTTTTCTTAGCAGCAATAGGTTATATAAGAAGGGTCAGAGGTCCAAGAGAAAAAGCGTTAACATTCATAGACAGATTACCTTGAACTGATGCAAACTGTATTAGCTGGAAGAGAATATTCATAAGGCTAATTCGCCTAAACAATTTGACACTGAATTGAGTTTGGTACGTCATGTTTCAAAAACTATTCACCTTAGGATCACAGGTTTGTACACAAGCATAGATGATGTACATTAGCCTAAAACGACTAGTAAGCTATCAAAACCCACACAGTTAGGTTGAGACCTCATTCTGTGAAAAGTGATGCATTCTTTTAATGTAGGAACATTATGCTTTTAATCAAACAAACTAATGTCTCAGTTGTTCACTAAGCCATCTTGATTATTCCAGGCACAACTGGTCATATCTGGAGAGAAGACTGAAATGGGCAAAGCCCTAAAAGTTTCTCTCACTAAATGCCTGGCCTTCTTTTTTCCCCTTACCTGATAATGAGCCTGGGCCTGCTGTGCGGAGTTCAAGGTGACATTGCAGAGTTTACAGTACAGGGGCTTACATAGCTCCTCCAGGGCAGAGTCTTGCTCCCCTCCCTTCGGTAACTCTTCTTCCCCGGCCAGAGGCAAGGAAGCCTCCTGCCCGAAAGGCTTTTGTGGCGGAAGCTGCAAGGTTCCTGTAGACCGGGCGGCCACTGACATAGGAGGAGAGGATGAGGGCCGCTTAGGCAGAGGAAGCCCGGCGTGTTGCAAGAGGATCATTGGGTAGGAAAGTCTTGGGCATAATCCAATGGGTGAGGAGAACTCAGGTCTTCAAATCTGAATCAACAGCAAAAAAAAAAAAAAAAAAAAATGCTCCCTTAAAAATGAGACCTCATGTAAATGACCACACACCACCTGACCCCTTCCTCTACTTCTCCAAACCACCTTTGGATTTCTCTTTGCCTCATCTAGCAGACTTCCCCTATCTGTTGATCCACGCTGACACTATGCTCTTCCACGGAGAACAGCTTTATAGATTTTGCTTTATTTTGCCTGGCACGGTTCCAACTGTGGCCCCTCTGACCTATGAACATTAATAGCATTGCATCCATGGCTGATTAAATCTACAAGTCACACGGCTGAAATGGACATCAAAGGTCACCTCGTCCAGACCTCTTCCCTCAGGCACACTTACACTTAACTACAATTGATGATAATTATGCATAGACAAAAACACCACTGGTACGAACCTCAGCAAATGTCTCCTTTCCATCCAAACTCATCTTTCCCTCCAGGTGAATCAAAAAGAGTGAAATAAAGACTTCCATGCCTCAGAACCCTTAAAACACTTCTAGAGCTAGCTAACATAGCAAGGAAACCTAGGAATAACTCAGTTACCATGTAACAAAAGTAAATAAAAGAGTTCCTTCCCATCAACCAGTAATATTTATTTTTTGTTAAGATTTTATTTACTTATTTGAAAGAGAGAGACACAGCGAGAGAGGGAACGCAAGTAGGGGGAATGGGAGAGAGAGAAGCAGGCTTCCGACTGAGCAGGGAGCCCAATGCGGGACTCGATCCCAGGACTCTGGGATCATGATCTGAGCCGAAGGCAGATGCTTAACGACTGAGCCACTCAGGTGCCCCATCAACCAGTAATATTTAAATAGGTAAGCCAGTGACTCCTCACAGCAGACACCACAGGCAATGTGTAGGCCACATGCAGCCTCAGATGTGCTCTGTTTCGAACATAAGAGTGTTGTGTTTTGCTTTCACTTTTTAAATTGAATTAGTCATCAACATTTTAAAATCAAGAGATTCATGGCTCCTCCTGATAAAAGGATGATCTGGCAACATTTGACACATGGTCCTACATGGACAATTACCTAGATAGGGCGGAGAGGCACTGTCCCCAGTAGCCAGGTCTGTCTTCTCCAGGCCACCTGCTTCCCACTTAGCCTGCTGTCTGTATTTGTGTTACTTACCTGCTTCCTGTAGGCCTTTGAGTTCAGGACCCCACCTCATATGGCCTTAAACTATATTCATGAGTCTGCTATAAAATCAGAATATCTTCTCTCCATCTAGCCATAAATTACCTGCATAAAACAATGTATCAAGTAAATGTCCTCTGAGGTAATGGATCACACTGTCAGAAGCCCCCATTTAATTCTAGTTCCTCAGTCTTTCAGCAATTTCCTTTTCCCTTTTTATTAAGTAACTATTATTCCATTTCACTCAGAAAAGATCCAATATGTTCCAATACCTCTTTGATTTTATACATCATTTCTTCTGCCTCCCACCCAGATGGTGCTTTCTAGCCCTGAGTATCTCAAAATGAACCACAGTACACATTCTGAGTTCCCATGATTCTAATTAACCCAAATTAAAATCCCTATTCCAAAATACACAATTCCTTCCACTCTCTCAATACTATTAAAACCTGTTTCCTTGGTCAATAAAATATGGCTATCTTAAACAGCTGAAATTTTCCATCTGCAAGAGAAATGTATATATTTTCTGACGGTAATACATTTACTAAAATTAACCAAAATTTTAAAAAGTTAAAAACTCTCTTTTACCACATTTAATAAGTATACACATGGAAACTGCAATCAGGTAACAACTTTTATACTAAATTCAGGGTCTGGGGGCAGCAGAGGATATCAGTGTGATGGGAAAATAAAGTAGTTAAAGGCAAAGTACAAAAATTAGTCATAATATTCAACGATACTTCTCATTCATCATAAGAACAGGATTTTTTATTCTTAAGCAGAAGTATGCTGTCCATATCTCTAGTAACATAAAGAAAAGCAATACAGACTGAGGACCTTTAAAAAGTCAGATTCTCTGTAATCATATTATTCCTCTCAATTAAATCAAGCAAAGACAGGCATGGACGTTTTAAAAAGGAAAACTAAGGAGACAAAAACCACTTATTCAAAAAGTTAACTACCTAATTATAATAATTCATTATATTAAAAGACTACACATACCACCTGTACAGAGACATACTGATACCAAACTGCCAGAAACAAGCTTCCAGTTCAGAAGACAAAATGGAGGAGGGTGTTGAAACATCTGTATAAAGGAAATCAACAATATAAACAAAATCAAATACTACCGATTGCCTAGACATGTCTGGACTTGTTTTATGAAAGCTCACTCCCACTTGAGGAAATTCCAGCACGCATCTCCCCCAGTGTGGCCTACAGGTTTCCATCAAAATAAAGGCCAGTCTCAAAGCCCAGAGGTATGAGAGGCCCCCTTCCAGAAGTGATAAAATCCCCTGCATTACAGAAAAAATTCTTGCCCAGTACAGACGTACCCATTTTCACATTCTATCTTTATAATTTTTAAAGAATAGCTAGATATTCCAAAATTATTTCTTGTAATATTCAACAATCAAAATGATAATATAACTCCCAAAAGGCTCTGTGCATGACAACTACATCAGGTCTTACTATGCTAGCAAACAAAAACTGGCTAAATCTAAAAGAAATAAAACCAAGCCTTTAGTGAAAGCCTGAATGGTGGAATAGAGACCCAAAGCATAGGCGACTACAAGGATCTGTTCAACTACTGCATTAGATTAAAAGAAACTAACTCGATGGCTGATGTAAATAAAATATTCCTCAGATCTTAAAAACCATTCAGTTTGATGCTTGAAGTGACATAAATGAAGGATTTATGGTGGTGAATGTCCTGGTTTGGAAGGGGTTTTTGAGGAGACAATAAAGAAAGTCAAAGCTTCATGGTGTACCCTGTTAAAGAAAACGGATGATCATAGCATAGTTTTCATGATTGGACTGGGGCCTACTCTTCACATACTGTATTAAAGACAATCACTTTCTCATTTGGAGAAATCTACAGAGGAAAGAGAACAGTGTAAAGGAACAGGTTATTGGCACCTCAGCAAACTAGGGAAGTCTGTACAGTAACTGGGAATTCTGGAAACGAGGGGAAAACAGTGAGCATTATTCAGAGGTCATCAAAACGCATCGGGAAGGAATCAGACAGAGAAATATGAAAAATAATCAGCTGAGGCAAGGTATATCATGTAAGGAAGACCCAAAAGAACGCAGGGAGGTGGGGGAGAAGAGGCCTCGGTGAATTGGCGAATGTTTTCCAGTCTCAGCTATGACTGTTCCTAATCCAAGGGAATCGTATACACATTTGAATCTAAGCTACAGACACTTCAGCATCGCCCACATATACCTTACATTCCTAATATGTGCCTGCATACACACGAGCGCGCACACACACGCACCTCAATCCCGTAAGGATGCCATCACGAAAGATGGAATCCCCCGTCTCCCACCGGGCGGGGGGGAGCGCGAGGGCCAAGGCAGCAGCACGCCTAGATGATCCAAATGGTACACGTGAAAAGCTCAAAAACAAACAGATAGATAAAAGCAGCGCAAGCCTGTCACGTGGAGGGCAGGTGGAAAGCCCGCACCCGAAAGGAACCGCTAGTCGCCTTCGCTCCCGGGCTCGTCCTAAATGCCCCAGGCTCGCGATCTCCCGCACTTACCGGAACCCTCCGGACGCGCCGGGAGTCCAGGCGCCGCGTCCACCTGGGGAGCCCGCCGCCGTCTGCCCCGCGCGCCCGGCTCGGCCCGGCTCAACTCCGCCTCCCTCGGCGCAACTTTCCCGTCTGGCCCCCGCCAAGCCCCCGCCGCAGCTGAAGGCTGACTGTCAAAAGTCAGCCCAGCCGGACCCACAGGGAAACAGCTGCAGGAAGTGACTGCGGAACCGGGAGGCGGCGGAGGAGGAGACTGAAGGCGCCGGCCCGGCGTCGCCACTGCGCATGTGCCAGGCAGGGCAGGCCGGGCGGTGGCGACGGCGGCGGCGGCGGCAGCAACAGTGGCGGCGGCGGCCGCGCCGGTGCCTCCAGCATCCCTGACAGGCCAAGGGCGCGCGGGACAGGTGCGGGCACCGCGAGCGCAGGGGCGCTGGGGCAGGATGGAAAACAAGCACAAGGCAGAAGGAGGGTGCACCATCCAGTGGACAGGTCCTAAGAGCTAGCTGTTCATCCCGTACACCCTGGAAAGTTGATCCAGAACAGACGCTTGGGTAGAGCTTCTGCAACTTTCATCTCCTGTCATTGAGATCCAAACCTTTTTCACTCCAGCCGCGCCCTCAATCCGCTGGTTGCCGCGTAAGGTCCTGCCAAATTGTCCAGGATCCTTTAAAGTGCTACGACAGAACCTTTAAACGGCACCTCTCCCCAGGATGGAGAAAGAGGAGCGTGACTGCGGTTAAGTGGTCTCCAATCACCCAAGAGCGCGTGTATGCGCGCGCGTGTACACACACACACACACACACACACAGAGACTCCTATACTACAGTGGGCAAGAGATAGAGAAGACTTTCTCCTGACCCCTGGACCCTTACCTGCAGGACAGAAAAGACCAGGAAGAGATGGGCTGATGCTAGAATGTCACATCTCCTAGTCAACGTCGACACCTGTAGGGTTGGCATTGAAAGATGAACTGAGGAATTTCCAGCTCTAAACTTCTATTAGTTTGTAAACTATTCCATAGGAAGATTTGCTGGGGGGGGGGGGCAAAATATACATAAATTTACTGTTTTCACCATTTTAAGTGTACAGTTCAGTGCCATTAAGTATATTCACATGGCCATGTGCTTATTTTTTAACCATTAATTAAAATGTCAGGGAGATCTAAGTATAGCAAGATGTGCCCTAGTAGTAGGCAACTACTGCAGGAAATTAAGGCTGTTTCTTTGATGGAAACACACCATCCAGTACCACCACCAACAAACCAGATTGGACTGTTTTCCAGAAATGACTTCATAAACACAATGACTGTTTAGGAATCATGCACACACAGCTAGTGTACACGAGCCATTTGGGGAGAGTAATCTATCATGTGTAGGTAGAAAACAGAATTTTTCTGAATTGATTCTCTGTTTATGTATACATACTTTATGTGTCAAAACCTTAAAAGGACACATTGTTTTTGTAATAATAAATGCTGCTGAAATCCACTTTCCAGCCCTTTTTCTGCATGGTCTTTAGCCATGTCACAGTCTATTCTCTTTAGCTAGGACTGCAACTGGACCTCTACTAGCCTTTCTGAACTGCCCCTCCCACTGGTATCCTAATAATGAACAAAACAGAGTTACTCATATTTACTCATTTACTCATGGATAGGCCCCATCCATGGCACTCACTTTCCTGCCTCTGTAACTTAGCTCTATCTGCATCTTGAATGCAAAGTGCTTTTTGTCCCCATCCCTGTATTTCTAAATCCTACCTATCCTCCAAGGCCTCTTCTTCAATGAGCTCCATAGCACTTCTCTGCACACCTTGATGATACACTTAATATTTATTGCTCTGTATTATAGTTACTTAAAGAAATCACTAATCTGCCCTACAAATTCCTTAAGCACAGAAAGGATACATATCTTGGAAGTTTTCAAATTGTGTATTTCATTCTTTCATTCTGTGCTATATTTCAGAATAAAAATCTGAAATATTAACTGAGGTACCTCACCATCCAGCTCTGTACATACACATACATTTCCATGTCCTCTTGTCTCTGGTGTTATACTCTTCCCAGACAGCTAGGGCATTTCCTCCTGCCTCAGGGAGAAAGAAGAAGGTAAGTCTCAGATGTTTGTTTAATAGATATTTGAAGCTCATGGTGTGACAATAGTCTTGTAAGTCAAAGGTTTGGATTTGGAATAGCTCTTTAGGAGCTGAAAGAAAGAAAGAAATTAGACCACAATGTATAAGTCGGCTTTGTTGTAAAAGCAAACAACTCCCAAATCCCAATGGATAATTGCCACAAACGTTTATTTCTTGCTTATATTAGTAACGTGCTGTAGATCAGCTCCACAGGTCTTCTTGTTCCAGGCCCCATGCTGAAGAAACAGCCCCTGTATGGGACTTGGCAATTCTCATGATATATGGGAAGAACCAGAGAGCTGGCAGAAACACATGAGACCTCTTACAGCTGCTTCTTCAGTGTGTCATGACATGTCCACTTAAATCCTATTGGCCAAAACCTTTCATATAGTCAAACCCCAAGTCAGTGGAGAAGTCTACAGCTTCCATAGGCAAATCACATGTCAATGGACATGGATTATAATCTTACAGAGCAGTGGTGGGTGGTGGTTAATTATAAACAATAATGCAATCTGCCTCAAACTCAGGGAAGCATTTTTTTTCATCCTAGAGCTTTTGGTGTATATCTTAAAGAAGGGATTTATACCTCCCCCTCATAGTCAAGATTAGCTTGAAAGAAACTATGGAGTTAGAAAAAACAGAACCCCCAGATACCTTTCTAAGATCTGAAGACAGAGGAGATGTGAGTTCTATTGCTAGGGTAGAGATCAGAAAAACAACCAAGGTCCTGGGGCTTCTCTTTAATAAGCCAACAGAGAGCAAGCAGCATTAGCATGAAGTATTTGAGTATGAAGAGCCAGAGGAATGCCCCAACACCTGTTCTTTGGTATCTATAGCATTAAAGACCATTCAAAAGGGCTGAGAGAGGACTATAAAGGGTGGAATGGCTTAGAGGTCAAAACAAAGAAGGACAGAGCTAAGTGCATAAAGCAATGGAAAAGTAGACATCAGTTTCTGAGGTAAAGCCAAGGGCATTTGCATCTGTGAACCAGGTATCTCCCCTTGCCACCTGCCTCCACACCCCATCCCAAAGAATTTAGTGGCTACCCTGAGAAGAACAAGGGGGAGTCAGATCATTATAAAGAGATTACATTTTAACCAGAAATGATTTGGGGACAGGAGAGATTTGTGGGTAACAGAAGTACATGTGGAATTGGCCAAGTTAAGTATTCTGGCTTTAGGAAGAATTAGATCTTGACACTGAGACTAATTTCAATTATTTTTTTTAAATATTTTGCACTCTTGAGTTTTATGACCTGACTTAACATAACTAGTATATTTTGTATCACCATGCTTGATTAGATAAATGGATGAATGAATAAATGAATGAATGAGATATTTCTGATTCCTCCCCTTTATAATAAGGATTATAGTGCCTCACAATTATACTTCATAGGAATGTTGTCTTCTTGGTGAAACTATCGTGTGGGAAACTCTCTGAACTTATCAGAAGGAAACTCCCATATTGAAATAAGGATAGATATTTTTCATTATGTTAGATCCCTTACTGAGAAAATCTACATTTTGCATGAGTTTATTTACCAAGGAGTTGGTTCCAACATACTTTTGGTGTCATGGCTTGAGCCTATGGGGAATCTAAACCAGGAGGCTTCATGCTATTCCCAAAATCAGAAAAAAAGGGAAATACTCATTCCTCTCCATGGACTGATGCAATTTGTCAGGTCAGATCCCCTTTGGAATGTAAATTTCCTTCATTCTTTGAGACTACGTCCTTTACTCTCATGCCCAGGCTGTGACACATTATATCTTCCAGATCTCCTTTGTTCTTTAAATCATAGGGAAAACCTTTAAAATTATTTGTCTCTCACACTAACCCCTGCTTTTCAACACAATCCTTCCTTTCTAATCAAAGCAGCACAACAAAAATCAAACAAAATAATCTCTCAGGCATTTTAATAGCATTTTAACATTTTTTACTTAAAAATAAAGTGTGAAGAAATAGTGGGAAAATGGTGATAGCCCTGACATGAGTTTTTAACCTCCCTAAATTCCCCTGATTAAAAAACTAGACAAAGTAGCAAACCCAAAACTCTGTAGACAACGACTACCATAAAGTATCCCCACAACCCCAAATACAGGTGATGATACGGCAAACCACCAAGAGCTACAGAACTGTGTGGTTTCAGCAAGAGAAAGCAGAGAGAAACAGCAGGGACATCGGACAGACTGAGAAACTAGCTGACTGGGACTCACTGGAAAGCTCAGTGGGCCGAGCTGAGGACAGCAGCTGAAACTGAAAGGAGCTCCGCCCAGTCCAGGAGCAGATGCATGCAATGGGTACATTTTGAGTTCTGAAGGGAATGGAGCACTTTGAGGCCCATTAACTCTCAGAGTTAACTAACCCTAACTCCATTCCCCAGCTGAGGAGAAAGTGCTGGGAATAGAATGCAAATAGTGCAGATTAGAGAAATAGGAAAGAGATGATCCAGAATTGAAGAGAGGAAGGAGCCAGGAGATCTCAGAAAGTAAGCCAGGAGCCTGGTGAACATAACATGAGGAAAAGAGAAGAATGAGCTCTAAAGCCTGAAGTTAAAAACGTATCTTAAGGGCGCCTGGGTGGTTCAGATGGTTGAGCGTCTCCCTTCGGCTCAGGTCATGATCCCAGGGTCCATGGGATCGAGTCCCGCATGGGGCTCCCTGCTCCTTGGGAGACTGCTTCTCCCTCTGCCTCTCTCTCTCTCTCTCTCTGTCTCTCATGAATAAATAAATAAGAAATCTTGAAAAAAAATAAAAATTAAAAAAAATGTATCTTAAACCACCTATCCTTCAGCTCCTGATCAAACCTGTAGATTCAATGCCAAACTAGCAAGGCATAACAGAGGGCAGAGAAACATGTTAAATTGCATTATGGTGATGCACTCAACAAAATCCAGACATAGGACAAATAACCTGATTTCTTTAAGATTAAATTACACAGCAAAATGGGGGCAGGGAAAGAAGGGGGATGGAATATTTTTTAAAGTCTTTAACCTGCAGATTAACATTTCCCTCCAGGAGGAAGAAATCTCTATAAAGCTAGGAGCACCAAGGGCAAGACTAATATTCAGCTCAAGCAGTCAGGAAGAGAGAAAGCAAATTCTTCTTCCTCCATCTTTTTGTTATAGTCAGTCCTCAATAGATTGGATAATGCCCACCCACATTTCAGGGATTGGGAGGAATTCACTTTGCTCAGTCTACTGACTCGAATGCTAATCTCTTACAGAAACACCCTTGAGACACCCTCAAATAATGTTTTAAACAGATATGTAGACATCTCGTGATCCAGCCAAACTGACACATAAAATTAAAAATCACACCATGTGATATAATGAATGCTGTTTTAAGCTGCTAAAATTGGTTGATTTGTTAAGCAAAGATAACCAATATAAGCCTGTCCCCTTTTAAAAATTTTGTAAACTATATATAGTTTATATATATATAAATATATATCTCACTACTCTTTTTTGGTGTTGTTTTCTTGCTTATTATTCTTTACTGTTTATACTTCCTGATTAATGTTAGAATCACATTGTCAAATTCCCCAAAAAAACAAACCCCATTGGGCTTTTAATCTAAACTGCATCAACCAATTAATTAATTAATTAATTATTAATTTGGTTAGAAGTTAAAATTTTACAGCATTATCTTCCTAGCCATTCTACCATGATTCAAGATTTGTATGTCCTTCACTAAGATCTTGTGATATTTTTTATCAGTAGGTACATTATTTTATGTATTATTACAATTACTGAAATAAGTGAAATACGCATTTTGTTTTACTGAATGAAATCTATTTTCTTTTAGTAATTATTGCTGACATATAGAAAAATTACCAAAGCCTTGTATTATACTCGAGCATTTAAGTAACTTTATTATCTGCTTGTGCTATCACTAGAGTTGTACATTCTGCCCTGTGGGCAGATTTATCAATATACAAGAGAGAGGGGCGCCTGGGTGGCTCAGTCGTTAAGTGTCTGCCTTCCGCTCTGGTCATGATCTCAGGGTCCTGGGATGGAGCCCGGCATCGGGCTCCCTGCTCTGCGGGAAGCCTTTTTTTCCCTCTGCGCTCCCCCTGCTTGTGTTCTCTCTCTCTCTCTGTCTCCCTCTGTCAAATAAATAAATAAAATCTTTAAAATATATATATATATATATATATATACACAAGAGAGAAAATGAATACTTTAAATATCATGGCAATCATATTTCTTTTCTGTATCCTGTGAGTTTTAAGATTATCCAATTTAGGCCTTAAAATCTACAAGCAGCAGAAATAATTGGCTACTTTCCTAAAAACTCCATATTTTTGCCCTCACCTAATATCCTTCTCCTTTCACAATCTATATAACTTACTCTGTCAACTCTAAAAAATACTAGAGTTAACTTTTCCTTTAAAAAATGCCTTCTTGGGGCGCCTGGGCGGCTCAGATTATGATCCTGGAGTTCCGGGATCGAGTCCCACATCAGGCTCCCTGCTCAGCAGGGAGTCTGCTTCTCCCTCTGACCCTCCCCTCTCTCATGCTCTCTCTCTCTATCTCATTCTCTCTCTCAAATAGATAAATAAAATCTTTAATAAATAAATAAATAAATAAAAATGCCTTTCTTATTCTGCCCAGTTAGTTTCCATCTGTTTCTTGTCACTGACATCACTAATGTGATCTCAATTTTGCACACCCATTATGAAAAAGCCAAACCATACTTTTTCCTGACCCTTCACCCTTGCAATCACTATTCTGTTTGGGAGAAATCATTGTGCATCCACATATTCTTATCTGTACCATTTTGTGTATGTGCTTATCAGTGATATCTAATAATGACAAGAATGGTACATTTATTTAACGTTGAAAAGGAAGGACACTAATGGGAAATAAGAGCCTACTATGTCAACCCCTGTATGGATGGCTGTATGATCCTTACAACAACTCCAATGAGGTAGGTGTTCATTTATCCATTT